GCTGTATATTGTCTCCCTGCTTATTTAACTTATATGCAGAATACATCATGCGAAAGGCTGGACTGGAGGAATCCCAAGATGGAATTAATACTGCTGGAAGAAATATCAATAACCTCAGATATACAGATGATACCACTCTGGTGGCAGAAAGTGAGGAGGAATTAAAGAACGTCTCAATGAGGGTGAAAGAGGAGAGTGCAGAAAATGGTCTGAAGCTCAACATTAAAAAAAAGTAAGATCATGGCCACTGGTCCCATCACCTCCTGGCAAATAAAAGGGGAAGATATGGAGGCAGTGACAGATTTTACTTTCCTGGACTCCATGATCACTGCAGATGGTGACAGCAGCCAAGAATTAAAATACACCTGCTTCTTGGGAGGAAAGTGATGACAAACCTAGACAGCATCTTAAAAAGAAGAGACATCATCTTGCCAACAAAGGTCCACATAGTCAAAGCTATGGTTTTTCCAGTATGTATGGAAGTGAGAACTGGGCTGCCAAAGAATTGATGCTTTTGAATTGTGGTGCTGGAGGAGACTCTTGAGAGTCCCCTGGACTGCAAGGAAATTAAACGTATCCATTCTGAAAGAAATCAACCTTGAGTGCTCACTGGAAGGACAGATCCTGAAGCTGAGGCTCCAGTACTTTGGCTATCTCGTGAGAAGAGAAGACTCCCTGGAAAAGCCCCTGATGTTGGGGAAATGTGAAGGCAAGAGGAGAAGGGGACGACAGATGATGAGATGGTTGGACAGTGCCATTGAAGCTACCAACATGAAATTCACCAAACTCTGAGAGGCAGTGGAAGATAGGAGGGCCTGGCATTCTCTGGTCCATGGGGTCATGAAGAGTCGGACATGACTTAACGACTAAACAACAAGAACATACTGAGATTAGTGCAACATTTTCTCTGTCTTACTATCAGAAAGGGTATATAATAAAAACAAACATTAAAGCTGTGTCCTAGAATATATGGAGGTGGGGAGCCATTTGTGAGTTTAGATTCAATAAAGCCATTTCGAAAAGGATAGCCTATCTCAGTTCAGTTATTAATATAGCAGCAGAAAATCAGATCTGCTAGTTTTTTTGAACATGAAGCAAAAGCATGTGAAGATTTAGAACCTCTATTTCCTTTTTAATTTACGGAACAGACACAAAGAGAGATACAGAAAGAGTGTGCCATACTTGGGAGATCTGAGGCAATTACTGCTAATAAATTAGTCTTACCACTCCTATGTTTCACAGTGAAAATGTTCTCCTTCAGTTTAATTATGTCCTCATCTTGGTCTTCCATAAGTGATGAAGTTACATGTATCTTCCAGATCCTTATCAGACAATCTTGAGCACAGCTTGCTAAGAAAAGAGCTCCATCTTTAAAAAAATGAAATGAATTATTAAGAAAAGGAAGTTTTTAAAGCTGGAAACTCCTTGTTCTGAAGAAAAATCAGTATTTACCATGGGCTAGTCACTAAGCAATACTGAAATAAGCACCTTGCTGTAGTGCAATCACTCAAAGCATTTTCCTTTTTGCTGACCACTTCATTTTCTCTGAATGTTAAATTGTTCAAAACATTGTAAACATCCTTTGGAAGCTCATTCTCCTCTTCCCTTAATAAGCCATGTTCCACAGACAAGAAAATGGAATCAATCCACTAAGAACATGAGTGAAAAATCACACAGGACATGAGGAAATGCACACAAGTGGTATCATAATGAGAAATATTTTCTCTTAAGAAGTGTAGAACTCTAATTCTCAAGTTCTCCTTCCCCACTTCTCTCTTTTACCATCTAAAATTCCATGCCTGCTAATATGCAAGATTACAACTATCTCAGACATTTGGTTTTTAATCCTAACCTGGTTCTGTCTGTGACATTCAGTAATGAAATTGAGCAAAAGCACTTTAAATACTTGCCATAAACTGCCCATTCAACTCCTCTTATCCAGTCTTCATGGCCATGGAGTACCAAACTTTTCTGAAACTTAAACAAATAACCACCCACATTAGGTGGCATAAACTTTGTCATGTTCCACATTCAGCCTTGAAGCTGGGCATTCTTCTAGGTTCAGCTTTCATGCTAGAGATTCCAGTAGCTTCAAGGGAACCGTGTCTTTTACTAGCTTTGAGTTGTTGACAGCTTTGGCATAAATTATCCCTGCCCTGGTAACTCCTAGGGACTTGGTGGCACTGCAGGTTAAACCGCAGAAGCCTCTGTGCTGCAAGGTCAGAAGACCAGCTGTCGTAAGATCAAATCCACACAACAGAGTGAGCTCCCGTCACTTGTCCTAGCTCCGGCCAACCTAGCAGTTTGAAAGCATGCAAAAATATGAGTAGATAAATAGGTACCACCTCAGTAGGAAGGTAACGGTGTCCCATGTCTAGTCGTGCTGGCCACGTGACCACAGAAACTGTCTACGGACAAAAACGCTGGTTCTACGGCTTGGAGACGGGGATGAGCACTGAGCCCTAGAGTCTGACACAACTGGACTAAATGTCAATCGCAACCTTTACCTTTACCTGGTAACTCCTGGTTGGATTACTAGAACATGTTATACTTTGATTTGGAAGCTTCAGGTGGTACAGAGAGCAGCTGTCCAAATCCCAACTACTGCAGCTGGTTTGGATCCTACTGAGAACATGTTTGTAAGAGCTCGGTTGCCAATCCAATCCAACATATTTGCATTAGCTTTTAAGCTGCTTGGGACTCCCAAATTTTTTTAAAAAAAGTATTTCTCCCATACTATTCTGCTCATGCTCTCAGATCATCAGCTGAGGCTCTGACTGATCAAGCTCTGGGTCACGGAAGATACTCCCACTAGATGACTGAATTCAGTTAGACCTACACTAACGCCCAAATAGGACACACCATTTGTAAGATTCCAAAACATAAGCAGCATTACCTGGCCAGCCTCCTGGATGTACAAGTGAATTTTGCAGTCATCTCCACCACAAGACAAAATTGGTACTAAAACGACAATTTATTTAAATTATTAAAAAATAATCACTTCCATTCGACACCCATACCATGGGAGACGGGGATGAGCACTGAGCCCTAGAGTCTGACACAACTGGACTAAATGTCAATCGCAACCTTTACCTTTACCTGGTAACTCCTGGTTGGATTACTAGAACATGTTATACTTTGATTTGGAAGCTTCAAGTGGTACAGAGAGCAGTTGTCCAAATCCCAACTACTGCAGCTGGTTTGGATCCTACTGAGAACATGTTTGTAAGAGCTCGGTTGCCAATCCAATCCAACATATTTGCATTAGCTTTTAAGCTGCTTGGGACTCCCAAATTTTTTTTAAAAAAGTATTTCTCCCATACTATTCTGCTCATGCTCTCAGATCATCAGCTGAGGCTCTGACTGATCAAGCTCTGGGTCACGGAAGATACTCCCACTAGATGACTGAATTCAGTTAGACCTACACTAACGCCCAAATAGGACACACCATTTGTAAGATTCCAAAACATAAGCAACATTACCTGGCCAGCCTCCTGGATGTACAAGTGAATTTTGCAGTCATCTCCACCACAAGACAAAATTGGTACTAAAACGACAATTTATTTAAATTATTAAAAAATAATCACAGGGCATCTGCAACTTCAACAAAAGTTTTCATGTCACTGTCATTTAATTTTATTATTTATACCCTGTCTTTCTCCCAAAGAGAACTCAATCCAGTTTACCATACTGAACCAGAGAATACTAGAAACTGAAAAAGCAAGAAATTATTACAATATTGAAAGCAAATACAGCAGTATACAATCCCTTTGTTTTTTTTTAAAAAAAAACCTCATGGGCATCTGGCTATTAAAGAAAGGACTCTTTGAAAAGAAAGGATTTTGTCTGCTGGCACAGGAACTACAAAGAAGACAACTTTCTATAGGAAGGAATCTCACAGCTTTGGAACAGCAACAGAAACAGCCCTCTGCCAAGTCTCCATCAAAGGCACCTGAGAGGGAGGTGGGACTGAGAGAAAGGATTCCCCCGATTAACATAAAACCAAGGCGGACTCATACAGAGGGAGGTAGTCTTTCAAACAGCTTGGACCCAAGTCATCTAAGGCTTTATAGACCAAAAACAGCATTTTGAATTGGACCCCAAAATGGACCAGCGACCAGTGGAGCCATTGTATTAGCTCTGTGTAATGAGTCCCAATTAACAAACTTTTGGACCCACTGAGGTCTCAAAACACTTTCCAAAGGCAGCCCTACACAGCGTGAGTTACAGCAATTCAAACAGGATATAGCTAAGTCATGTCACCATGGCCAACTCAGACATCTCAAGGAATAGGTGCAGGTGGCACACTACTTTTAATCTGCGAATGAGCTCTTGGACCTTGCTAGAACCTAGGCATCCAAGCTCAAAGACTCATTTAGGAGCACACCCAAGCTGCAAGTGCATATTTTCACAGGGAATGGAACTCCATCCAGCACAAGCTCAAACCCTATTCCCTGGTTTGCCTTTCAACTGACCAGGAGCACCTCTGTCTTGTCTGGATTAAGCTTCAGCTCATTCACTTTCAACCAGTTCATAACTGACTCTACACACTGATGCAGAGCTGAGACAGCTTCCTTGGGTTTAGATGGAAAGGGGAAATAGAATTGGGTGTCATCTGTGTACTGATGACCCTGGACCCACAAACCCCAGACAACCGCTTCCAGTGGTTTCATGGACATGTTAATAGCATGGAGACAAAACAGAAACGTGAGGGACAGACATCACAGGCCAATGGCATGGGTATCGATGTGGAAGAGATTGTCACTCTCGAATTGGCCTTTTCAGCCACAGTAGATGCTGTTCCAAGACCTCCATACAGAGCACGTTACCATAGCCTCTCAAGACTGAAGGATGCCTACTGGAATTTCAGTTTCTTTATTGTAAATGCTAGAGTTGTATAGTTTTTCTGTAGTCATAATTTTTGTCTTCTTAATAATGTTCAGCTACTATTCTGTTTTGGCCATTTCTTCTTTCACTTTCATTAAAAGTCATTTCAAGTAATTCTATTTAGTTACTTATATTTAAATTTTTGCCCTGCTTTTCTCCTTCAAAAGGACGCAAGGCAGCTTACATCACTAGAAGATAATATTTGAAGCTAAAAACAGTAAGTACACAAATTTTTTAAAAAGGATCAAACAAATACCACACTAAAAGACAGTAAAACAAAGCAACACCAAAAACTGCATTCAAAGCAGTAAACCATAATTATCTAATTAAAAATCCTACTCAGGCAACCAGTCATTAAGGGAAAGCTTGCCTAAAAAGAAAGGTCTTCCAGCTTTCTGCCAGTAAGATAGTGTCATCTGCAAATCGTACTGATGTTTCTTCCACCAATTTTCACTCCTTCCTTATCTCAGTCTATGATCTTAATACAGATCGAGTAGATAAGGGGACAAAATGCACCCTTGTCTGAAACCTTTGTCTCCAGGAAACCATTTTGTATTTCCATATTCTGTTCTAATAGTAGCTTCTTGTCCACAATACCAGTTACTCATCAGAACAATCAGTTGCTGAGGCACATCATTTCTTTCAGAACCACCCATAGCTTCTCTTGATCTACACAGCCAAAGGCTATACTAGATTTGTAAAAAATGAACACAACCTATGCAGCAGTCTGTAAGAATGCATGATAAGATTGCAAAACTGTGCTTTCAGTAATTTACTTTAAAACAGAACATTTTTATCTGACCTTGGAACGATGCCACAATCCATCAGCTATGGTTAGTGGACTATTCAAACATTTATTCAAATATCTAAAAGATCTCATAGAAGCACTTACTGTTACTGCCAGGCAAGAAGGACAAAGAAACATCCATTGCAAATCCATTTCCAAACAAAAGTGTCTGAAGACAATTAACTAAGAGAGAGGGAGAAAACAGTTTACAAGCAGAGAGTTAATATTACCTAGACAACCAATATAAAATCCACAGTGATATGCTCCTAATTACAGCAACAATCAGATAAAAACTCACCCAAGATTAATCTAAAGGATTATAAATCACAAAGAAATACAAAAAAAAGGCTCAGGTCTAGAACAGCTAAGAACAAGAGTTTACAGTGGGTCACTGTGTATTCTCCTTTTAAACTACATGTGGTACATTGAGAAATGATCCCTCTTTTCAGTAGGACCAAATTCCTTTATTGCTACTCACAACATACTGTGTTGTAACTGTGAAACATGATTAGAAACAACAGCACTGTATCAAGAACAGGGCTTTTATGTACAGGGAAGACAACCTAGTACCTGCCTCATGTTTTGAACATCCATAAGCTCCCAGACAGCACAGCCAATGGAAAGGATTGTGAGACTTGTAGTCTAACACATCTGCCACCATCCCCTATGTTCACAGTGTTTAGCTTATTTCATCAACTACCAGATATCAGAACCACATGACATCTGAGCAATATTGAGACATCTTGTACCCTTGGATACTAAAACTGTAAAGGGGTTCTTTTGTGTCAGCCATAAAGGTCACTCAATCCATTTCCATCATCAATTATCCAGACACCTTTCAAAGCTCATACCCAGAGTAAGGGTCATCCACTGTTGTTTATCATCAATATTTGCAACTTAAAGGCGAACTGCTCCTCAATAAAAAGGTTCCTTTTAGTTAGCATATCTAACTATCATTGACAGACTTATCCTCCAGGAATCAGTCTCGTGCTAATTTGTTCTCCAGTTTCAAGGAGTACCACCTTAACTTGCAGTGGTCCAGCAAACATCCTTGTGATGAAGATTAAGAACTTCTGCTCTAGTGTTTCTTCATGTCGTTACTAACATACAGGCTCTCCCGTGAGCTGCCCCCTGCATTTATTTTAGTTATTTATTATTACAGATATTTTTATAACACCCTTCCACATGTTTAAAGGTGTTTAAATACATTTTTAAACTATTATAAATAGAATACTGATGGGCTGCTCTCAACCAGCACAAATCCATATTCTCTCAGGAAGGGGCCATCTATGGTTTGTGCAACTTCTGGTGATCCACTCCCATCAGGTGCAGAAGAAATGGCTTCCTCCTCACACAAGCAATACAGATATATGTCAGCATCCCTACTTGAGAATAAGCACCAAACTCAGTGGAGCATATTTCTGAGCAGGCAGGCATAGGATTGCACTGTGCCCTTCTTGACAGAGCCCCTGTTTCCACAACAAAGCAAGGACACGTACCTTCTGCTCCTTTTTTTAACCAAATTCTGACAGTAGAATCGGAAGCTGCAGAGGCTGCCAGTAAAACTGATTCTTCTGTAGGCTCCTCTGTCATGTAAAGAGCATCCACTGCGCAAACTGCCTCAGTGTGACCTTCAAAATGAGTGCAGTTCACAAGCTAAAGGGAAGGTTATAAAATTACATTAACAAGAGACAATAATCCTGGAGTTTCCACTGAACAGGCATGCCAAGTGTGGAGAGTTTTCAGAATTGTCCCAACAAGTTCATCAAAGCAACACTATAAAGTTTTTCGTCCATTTTCTAAATCTCCTTTAAACATTTTAGTATATGACCAAAACAAACATGAAAGTTTCGACACAAAGTTTATTAAAAGCAAAGATTTAAGGGAAAACAGAAAACAACCAAAGAATACTGATTGATTGAGAAGAGTAATTAATTGTAGGTCAATTTTTAGCAAGCAGGCTGTTCCATTTAATCTGTTACACAGCACAGGACAAATCTGTATGCTCTCTCGTTTTTTCCTTCCACAGAGCCCCCTACAATTCATCTAGTCAAAGAATTCCTTTTTTATATAAAAGGCTTAGTTCTCCAATTCAACAAAGCAAGAACTTAAATATACCACTTCACTTCGCCTTCTGTTCCACCAGTGAATAAGAAGTTTATAATAAGCATATGAAGTGCTTTCTGATCACTGGGTATGCAGCTATCAGCTGTTTTCCCTTGAATATATCTTGGGAACAGCAGGCACAGTCCGCACCTCACCCCAGTAATGTTTCTCTGTAGGGTTCCACCTCTGGGTATTTGTCTTCCCTAGGAAAGCAGGCACCTCATTAAGGAGCCATTCATTTTCTATCATCAGAGCACAGCATTACCTTTTCAGAAAATGGATCTGTTCAGAGAGAAGGGAAGGAAATATCAGAGCACTGACTTGCATGCAAGTTATTATTTTTCCACACAAGTATACACAATGACAAGGAAGGCATGAAGCCTTACAGCGATTATCTTCCAGTTTGTGAGCACCGGTCCAAGCAGGCCACTCACAAGCATCAGTGCACAAATTTACCCAAGCACATCAGATCAATGTTTAGGCAACCAGTCTCTTCTTCCAAGCACAGATGGGAACATCTGCCCCCTCCACATCTCATTGGCTCACCGGTCCCCTGATTCCCTCTCGCCCTTGGACATACTGGCTGGACCTGGTATATGCTGCTTTCTAGAACTATCTGGAGGCCTATTCATTCCCAAGCCCTGTTCTGTGGCCAGAAAAGTTCAATATAGATGCAGCTTTTCATTATTTCTCATTTCATTATGACTTCCCTATGGAAAACAGGGGCAAATGGGAGGAAGAATGTGGTGACATATATGTAACATGATACAGTAAGCTGATTAAAAGCTGGTGTTTCCTAACTGCCAGGACATGAATAAAAAAGAACACACTTAATTAGACGAGAAGTGCCATGTCAAGAAACATTAACAGATCTTTCTATCATGAGATACTTCTACACCAGAGAGGCCAACAATTGGCCCACCATCTCCATACAGCCTGATGACTGTTTCTGCACTGCACTGCGCGCACACACGTTCTCTAACACACATACACACAAGACTTTCCTGAAAACCATGCCACCAATTTTCAGTAAGAAGCCCTTTTAAACAAGCAAAACCAACTTGTTTCACAGGATTTTCACAGTTCTATGATAAACTGCAAAAAGCCCTTTATTAGAACAAGGGCTTTTACAGGTTTGTCAATGAACTCTGGCAATGGGATCTGCTGCTGAATGTTGGCAGCACAGCAGGAGGTCCAGCCCATAGTTGGTTGCAAGTACAATGAAACTGGCCCACAGACCTGCCAAAGTTGCCCTCTCCTGTTTTCGGCTGACAGTGATCAGATGAGAAACCAATGCAGATCGAAAGAGAAACCTAGTGCAGCCCTCTAGAGAAAATTTTGCAAATTCTGCAGAAGGAGATGAATGACTGATGCACCTATCACATCTTAGTTCATGCACTACCACATATTTTGTATCTTCTGGTTTCCTCAGGGTGTGTTTATATACAAGAACTGTGAGTTGTGTCCCCCTTCACATCATCCAAATTGTACTCTTGAAAACATAGCTGAGACAGCCCTTCTCATGCACAATGACGATGATGGTCATGTCTCTCTTTGCAGCTTAGCACCTGGTTGCTGTTGATTTTTTTTTGTTTTTTTGCAGGCAAAGAGAAAGGACCCCAGTTTGTACTCAGCCCTCATGCTGCACAGACACCCAGAAACCTGTGCTCATGTTCTCCTTTCCAGCTTTTCAAGCAAGTCAAATAGAGCTGTGGTATAAAGTATGAGTAGTGGCAATTCTTCTATCTTAAATAACAAGAATTCATTAGCTACAATAAATCATAACTAGTGCAAAGCATATCCTGAGATTCCACATAAGCATCACGACACCAGTTGTAGGATTCAGCTTCCTCAGAGTCTCAGATCAGACAAAAAATATATCCCTATAAGTAGTTGTGACTGCATGTGACAAAACTTAAAAAGCCAGAGATTGAGAGAGCTATAAGGTTTCTTATAAGAAGGGCTTCAGTGATCCACATGGCAGCACCTCGCTTCTTCTCGAGACAGTAAAAGTGGAAGATATGAGCAAAGCTAATTACTTTGCATATTTATACAAAGCACAAAATTTAGTTTTGGGTACAAGAAAATGCATATTCATTTGGAAGAAAATCCCATTATATTCAGTAGAGTTTACCCCTTTGGAAATATGTTTAGGATTGCAAGCATTTTCATTTCAACAGCAATATAGGTATATTAACACTGTACTCTGAATCTGGATGGCTACTAATTAATATTTTGCATTCCAAATTTGCTTACTCAGATGTAGTACTGGCTGTAAATCTTAGACAGTGCTGTATAATAGGAAATTATGTTACGTTGGGTAACATGGAAACATTCAGAAGTTGTTCTCGTTTGGATTTGTTCTTTTGCAAACAGAGAGAGAGAGAGAGAGAGAGAGAGAGAGAGAGCTATAAGGTTTCTAATAAGAAGAGCTTCAGTGATCCACATGGCAGCACCTTGCTTCTTCTCGAGACAGTAAAAGTGGAAGATATGAGCAAAGCTAATTACTTTGCATATTTATACAAAGCACAAAATTTAGTTTTGGGTACAAGAAAATGCATATTCATTTGGAAGAAAATCCCATTATATTCAGTAGAGTTTACCCCTTTGGAAATATGTTTAGGATTGCAAGCATTTTCATTTCAACAGCAATATAGGTATATTAACACTGTACTCTGAATCTGGATGGCTACTAATTAATATTTTGCATTCCAAATTTGCTTACTCAAATGTAGCACTGGCTGTAAATCTTTGACAGTGCTGTATAATAGGAAATTATGTTACGTTGGGTAACATGGAAACATTCAGAAGTTGTTCTCGTTTGGATTTGTTCTTATTATGTTACGTTGGGTAACATGGAAAAATTCAGAAGTTGTTCTGGTTTGGATTTGTTCTTTTGCAAACACACACACAGAGAGAGAGAGAGAGAGAGAGAGAGAGCATAAAACAGTTGAAACTTTACTTACAAACCAAAGTGCCTAAAACAAACAAACAACTCCCAAAGGTAGGTCTCGTTGAAATCATAGTTTCATTTTTGGGGGGGCTCCATTTCCAAAAGAAGAAAAACAAGTCACCTTGTAGCTCTCATGCAGTATAGTTTGAGCAGACTCCCACTCATTTTACTAAGGTCAGAGTTCTCTGGTCCATCTTTTAAACATATAATTAATGAAACTTTCCAACTCTATTTACATACCTTCTCATTTTGTATTTCCCAAAGGATAAGCTGCTTGTCTGACCCCCCAGAAATCAATTCTGTATCAGAAGCTGTGACAGGAGAGAGAAACAAAAAATTGTAACAACCAAGATTAAAGAGTTTCCTTTTCTGGGATTCATGAATGTCCTATTTCTATTTTTTGTTTCAGTGGGTACTTTTCTTAAAGTTAGCATCTCCAGACTGGTCATTTGAAACATCACTCAAGGGCCTAATTTTGCCAATCTGGAGGTCCCAGGCTGCAACCCCTCCTAGAAATGTGATTTTACCTTTTTCAAAAACCGGGAAAACACTGGAAATAGGCTGCCACCCTACTAAAGCAAGTCTTTATGTCTTGCTTTCTCTACAGAAAAATCACCACCAATTTCCACTTCAACTTCAAACAAACTAACAAACAAACAAATAACTCCCAAAAGAGGTAAGCCTCATTGAAATCATAATAGTTTCATTTTTTTTTTCTGGGCACCATTTCCAAAAGAAGAAAAAGCAAGTCACCTTGTAGCTCTCATGCAACATAGTTTAAACAGACTCCCAGTCATTTTACTAAGGTCAGGGTTCTCTGGTCCATCTTTTAAACATATAATTAATGAAACTTTCCAACTGTACTTTCAGTATTTAAAAAATGTGCCATCTCTGCTTATAAGGGACATGGTGGTGCTGCGGGTTAAACCGCAGAAGCCCCTGTGCTGCAAGGTCAGAAGACCAGCAGTCGTAAGGTCGAATCCACGCGACGGAGTGAGCTCCCGTCACTTGTCTCAGCTCCTGCCAACCTAGTAGTTTGAAAAGCATGTAAAAATGCGAGTAGATAAATAGGTACCACCACGCTGGGAAGGTAACGGCGTTCCGTGTCTAATCACGCTGGCCATGTGACCACGGAAACTGTCTTATGGACAAACGCTGGCTCTACAGCTTGGAAACGGGAATGAGCACTGTGCCCTAGAGTCAGACACGTCTGGACTAAATGTCAAGGGGAACCTTTACCATTTCTGCTTGGGAATTTGCATGATGTTACATCATGTTGTTGTTGTTTAGTCATTAAATCGTGTCCGACCCTTTGTGACCCAATGGACCAGAGCACGCCAGGCCCTTCTGTCTTCCACTGGTCAAATTCATGTTGGTAGCTTCGATGACACTGTCCAACCATCTTGTCCTCTGTCGTCCCCTTCTCTTCTTGCCTTCACACTTTCCCAACATCAGGGTCTTTTCCAGGGTGTCTTCTCTTCTCATGAGATGGCCAAAGTATTGGATCTGTCCTTCCAGTGAGCATTCAGGGATGATTTCCTTCAGAATGGATAGGTTTGTTCTCCTTGCAGTCCAGGGGATTCTCAAGAGTCTCCTCCAGCACCACAATTCAAAAGCATCCATTCTTCATAGTACATAGTACAATTCTTCAAAAGTACATCATAGCTTGTACTTTTCCTCTTCAACTTGAAAATGGGTCTTGAGGTTAAATCAGTTCTGATGCACCTTTGAGACCCTAAAACAGTACTTACTTTTCTCTATACCCTAGCATCTCCTCTCCACAGGATCAACAACAAAATCACTCACCAGACTATCTATGTATTCTGCTTTTTTCAGGAAATAAAAAGCTCAACAGAAGAATCCAAACAAACTATTAGCAGTCGCCAGCTACTCAATACAGAGCAGAAGAAATCTAGAGTAGCTTGAATAAGTAGAACTGTGGCATAAGATACTATGGGGTATGAAGATTTCCCTTGTTTGGAGCAAACCACACCAGTCACACCCTAAGCAAACATTTTCCAGAATTTATTAACAAAACATACAAAACATAACACTGCAGCCATACCTGTTAATTCTTAATGAAAACACCTAAGACAGGTCTTGTACAAAATCTTTCATATGTCATTGTCTCTGAAACTGACCTGGTGCCCTGACCTGCATCATTATTTTGTCAGAGGTAACACGAAGGTGAACCTCTGATTGCCCAGCCAGGGAGGAAGAAAAGAAGAAGAACAAGAAAGAGCACAGAAGCCTTGATAGACAAAAATCCAGTCTTACATATCTTAGGCATATTGTATAATTTCGTCCCTCTCTCCCCAAGTCTCCTGACACTCACATTTGATGGTTGAGGAAACCAACTAATTGAGTTTTGTGCATTTATAAAAATCTATTCTGATATCTCAGTAAATAAGGGGCAATACCACACACGTGAATGAAAGCAGAAGGTCATACTTTGCTGAGGCAGTGAGGACTGTAGCCCTTCATGATATTTAAATTTAATATGGCTACCGGCCACACTTAAATACACTACACTTGCTGAGGCAGTGAGGACTGTAGCCCTTTATGATATTTGAAATAAAATAATACATATTTTTAAAAATTCAGCTGAAGATTTACCACCTAATCCAATTACATCTGATTTCATTAAAGCAGTACTATGTTGCCTATGCACCTTGACAAATTAAATGTTTATACCACAGACATCCATACATCAAAATCATGGCATTTCATTTCCATGAAATGTATCGTAATTCATTCCCTCATAGATGAAGGCTATTCAGCTATGCGTTCAATGCAAAACATGTACACCAGAGGGCACTCATCTGAAAACAGTAACAAGTCAGAAAAAATGGAGTTTATGAGCATGTAGTACAAAAGAAAAAGATACAGAAGAGGTTCAATTGGGCATCTGCTTGTGCCTGCCAAAGAACCTTCAAGGGGTTGACAATCTTAAATATCCCTCTTAATATAGTTGCAAAAGCAGTTGAGAATAAGCTGTGGGCATCGCCCGCTCAAAGAAGGGATATCAGGGTGACTCCAAGTCCCTTTCTTTAAAATATATTTTTTACTTCTATCCTATCCTTCTCTCAGAATTGAAACTCAAGGTGGCATGCTTACAGATGCTTCGTGCAAACTCACTCAGGTAACTTAGCCAGCAAAATGCAGCAGAATTTAATCTATTGCTGTTTTTCTCCTCCCATGCTCCCTGCTACCAAATGTTGGATTACTGTTATTTCAGTCATTGTTATAGAAGTGCACCACACTAAGAATATAAGGAAAGTCCTGCTAGATCAGACCAAAGTTCTGTCTAATCCAGAATTCAGTCCACACAGTGGTCAACAAGCTGCCTGCAGGACGTTTAAAAGCAAACTGGTACTGCAACCTCTCATAAAAGTATCAGTTGCAACAATAAAGATACAAAACATTTGATAACTAAGTGAGGGTTACATTTAAAAACTAAACAATAGTAGCTCTGAATTTTTCAACAGCTTCCCAGTTAATCTTACCAGTGTCTGGTTGCTCTAAAGGACATCCCCAACCCACTATAAACCTCAGCATTTTTTAAAAATGCAGCCTATTGTCTCAGTGTTGGAGAATACACCTCAGTTACACAAAAAAAAGAGAGGGCTCTGCCAAGAACTCTATGACTGTTCACAATGAGCTTGTTCAGACACAGTATCAAACCCCCATCATAGATTGCTGGTTTGTACATAAGCTGTTCATGTCCTCTGGGTTTGCATCCTCTGTGCATCCCACTCCATTGTTTTTTTGTGCACTGCAATTCATTCCTTCTTTTCTTGCTTTGAGGGCCATCCAAAATGGCTACTATGGTTTTCACTCGCCTGAAAGCTAGGACCAGCAATAAATGCCAGTTTCTGACTATGGTTTTCAAGGCAAACACAACACAAAGGTTCACAATTTGGACAAAAGAACATGCTACCTTTTGACTCAAGCAACAGAGGGAAAATCACCAGTATCTTAGAACTGCAGAGCTGAAAAGGACCCTATGGCTCATCACGTCCAGCCCCCATCAAGGAGGCACAGTGAGGAATCATCTCCCAACCTCTGGCTCCACAGCCAACAACCTAAACCACTGAGCTATCTAGCAGAATAACAAGTCTGGAGGTCCTGAAAAGCATACTGACACAGCATAAACAATTATTTGACTTTACACTGGAACTATCCCAACAGGGAGGAGGGAATTCAATGGTAATAAACACACCTCATACAGACCACCACCTGCTGATGCTCATACATCATGCACAGGTTGTACATTTGCTAACCAAAACATCTTCTCAATGTTTTGCACTGTTCCGGGTGCTATGTAAAATCACAGCAGTAGATTCAGTTTAGTTTATTACTCAATAGCCAAGTAGACCTTTTGCTTAAATTGCAAAAAGAAACAGGGCTGGATGTACGAGTAAACACAGTAACAATACAAACTACAAAAACAAAAGGGGGGGAGATAAAACACAGAATTAATGACACAGATATTAGCTAAAAGCATAGCAGGAGAAATAGGCACCTTACTTTTAAGCTGAATTAAACTTTACTTACATCGATCATTATTGCGAATCCATTGCACACAATTAACCCTTTCGGTGTGACCATTCAATGTAGCAATCACTTTTCTTTTCTGGAGGCAGTAAAGAAGAACAGATTTATTGAAGTTATAGAAAGAGATAGCTGAAAACTTTCCCCGTTCAAAACAAATAAAAGAGCTCAATTTCCAGAGAGGTTTTTAAATATTGTTGAAATCATTTCAACAGTCTGGTATTATGGCTGTTTAGTAAACAAAATACTTCAAAATACTGTCTTTTAACCATTCAAGAAAATCCAGTCATCTACCAAAGCAATAAACATGACATAAACAAGTAATGAGTTCACACACACATGTACATCACTTTTTTATTATAAATATTTATACTTTTTCTCTCTATTAATCTTTCCCAAGTCAAACTGAGTATGTGGAGAGTCAAACTGAGTATACTACTAGAAGCCACAGTCTGAAGTTATGAAACTTCTTGACTTTCTTGCCCTTTCATGTTTAGACACAATGTGGCGTTTTGGCCTCTCTTCCCCCCCCACACACACTCCCAAGAGTTCAGGCATGAGCCCTCTCTCCATTTTAACTTCAAAACCATGTGATGTAGAGATTGGGTTTTGTTCTAGAGCCAGAATACCAAACGGCAAAGCACCTTTAACAACAGTATAAGACACAGAAATGAGGGGAAGGCCTTCATATGATGAAATGTTTCTAGTCATGCAACTGCTAAATCCAAGATTAAGGCTGGGTAATAACTTTGTTTGTTTGCTTGTTTGCTTGTTTGATTGACTGACTGACTGACTGACTGACTGATTGATTGATTGATTGATTGATTGATTGATTGATATACTGCCCATCTGGCAGCCAAGGCCACTCTGGGCAGTTTACAACAAATAACAAAAAACAACAGAGTAGCAAACAGCAACATTAATACATAGCGGTGAAAATCCAAAATCACAAAGTGAAGTGAGGGTAAAATTATAATACAAAAACACAATTAAAAGCATAGAAAAATAAAAGCATGGAGCATGGCAGTATGATAGAAGCTATTACTGCAGCAGAACCACAGATGAGCTTTCTAACCCAGAAGAAACCTTCACCAGGCTCAGCATTCCAGAGCTGAAGGAGTGTGGGAAGATGCAAATTAATTCAAAACTCATCCTTTCAGTCTTTGGAACTGAATTACAAAATATTCCCAAGATGGATACTGAAAGCTTCCTGTATCAGCTGAAGGCATCTGGTTTCACCTCAGGCAATGCAGGATGAGAATCTGTTCTGTCCCTGGAGCTAAGATCTGCAGGCAGCCGGGTCTTTGCTGTAGAAATAGTGAAGAAATTCTAAGCCTTGTGGGTGAATTGGCCAGTCATAGCAGCAGGAGAGAAAAAAACATCATTCCAAGGGTAATGAGGGTGGAGAATTTTTGAGGAGCAGCTACTGGGCATCAGCAGTAGTAGATGTCAACACTGTCAGAGGATCGTTCAAGAACAACAGCAGCAATACTAAAGCTAACTCTTGTTAGACTACATAGAAGAAAACACTGGCAACGACTTCTGGATGTCTTATGCTCAAAAACTTTACGATGGGAAAAACCAAAAGGAAACAAGAGGTAGTGCTAGAAAATGAAACTAACAGGAAAGAAAGCACTCAGCCAATGTCATGAAACAGCAAAGGAGAAATACAAAAGGCACTGTCACTAATGAAGCACTTGGACTATAGCCAAAAGGATGTATAGTTACTGACATGCACAAAGGGAAAAGGAAAGTTTTTTGCTGCACAATGCATAAAATTAGAACATGATACACAAGATGTATAAATCTCAGTGGAGGTCATAATCATAAAACAAGAAATGAGATATTCAAACATTTTAATATGTGGGGTGATCAAACTAAAGGAGGTCATGTAGGACATCATCAGACAATTACAAAATGTTGTAATGTGAAAACAACAATCTCAAAAGAAACAGTGTAGATCTAATAGTGAGGCAAGATGTAGCCCAAGTAGTTATGGGCTACAGTCCAAAGTCTAATTAAATAATACCAATCAGTTATCATGGAAAACCTATCAATATAACTACAATTCAAGTCTATGTTCCAACTACAGATGCTGAAGAAGGAAACTTTAATGCAAGTGGCCACGAGGAAATTGATACACACTAAATTAGGACATGCTAATAATGATGGATGGTTAGAAGGCAAACATAGGAAATAAAGCAGAACCAAACACTGTCAGAGAATTTGGCCTAGAAGTCAGAAATGAAATAGGAGAGCAGCTCATAGACATCTGTGGAATCAACAATTTATTTACAGTGGGGTCTTGACTTAAGAACGGCTTGAGTTAAGAACATTTTGACTTAAGAACCACTCTCATAGGAAAATATTGACTTGACTTACATACTTAGATTTGAGTTAAGAACTGAAAAAAACCACACGGGAGGCAGGGAACGTGCAAAATTTGAACTTTCAGTTAACTGTTGGCCAGTGAAAAGGGTGCCTGTTATTGCAAATACATGCTTCAGGCAACACAACTGTACACATGATATCACCAAAAGGCCAATACATTAACCAAGCAAAGTACAGTGGTGCCCCGCATAGTGGCGATAAGCTGTTTTGCTTACCGATCGTTGCAAAGCGATTTTTTGCCATTAAAAAGATCACGAAGCGATCACTTCTGCGATCGCAAAAAACAAATCGCTATGCGGATTCATCGTTAAACGAAGCGCTCGTTAAGCGAGGCACCACTGTATATAACTGGAAACAGAAGATGAAGAAGCTCTATTCTGTCTGCAAAAACAAGACCAGGAGTTGACTGCAATGCAGAACACAAACTTTTAATATCAAAAATTAAGGTAAAGCTTGAGAAGAACATTAAGACAATCACAGCACCAACATATAATTTAAATAACATTCCTGAAAAATGTAAAGACCATGTTAAGAACAGGTTTGTATTACTATACTTAATTGACCATGACACACAAGAGTGAATCTAGAGATATTACAAGTGAAGAATGAAAGAAGACTATTTCTGTAGTCAGAAGAAAAATATAAAGGGATGATTGAGAAAGTTCTTAAAATTGTTAACAAGGCAAGACACAAAAATAAAAGGTGAAAAAAGTATTTTCAACAATGTGCATGGAAGGATAAAGAGAACAATTATAACAAACATTGCAAAAACACATCTCTTCTGTAAGACCTAAGGCTATGCGGATTCATCGTTAAACGAAGCGCTCGTTAAGCGAGGCACCACTGTATATAACTGGAAACAGAAGATGAAGAAGCTCTATTCTGTCTGCAAAAACAAGACCAGGAGTTGACTGCAATGCAGAACACAAACTTTTAATATCAAAAATTAAGGTAAAGCTTGAGAAGAACATTAAGACAATCACAGCACCAACATATAATTTAAATAACATTCCTGAAAAATGTAAAGACCATGTGAAGAACAGGTTTGTATTACTATACTTAATTGACCATGACACACAAGAACTGTAGAGTGAATCTAGAGATATTACAAGTGAAGAATGAAAGAAGACTATTTCTGTAGTCAGAAGAAAAATATAAAGGGATGATTGAGAAAGTTCTTAAAATTGTTAAAAAGGCAAGACACAAAAATAAAAGGTGAAAAAAGTATTTTCAACAATGTGCATGGAAGGATAAAGAGAACAATTATAACAAACATTGCAAAAACACATCTCTTCTGTAAGACCTAAGAAATCAAGGGAAACTTAAATATACGTATTAGGAATGCTGAAAGACGAATAAGGAAATATACCATCTAATCACAATAAAATATAGAGAAACTGAAAACAATATACTGAAAAACTAATTAAGAAGAGATATATGGACAATAAGATTCATTCATACACTTTTATGAAGATTTCAACTTTTTACAAAACGAAGTGAAAAATGATGTAAAAGCACTTAGAAGAAATAAATCATGAAGTATAGATGCGATATCAGTCAAGCATTTTCAAACTACAGTGACCGACTATGCCACAAATTTGGAAAACAAAATAATAACTCACAAATTGGAACCATTCAATATGAGTAACAAGGGACCACTAGAAAGACAAATCAGAGAGTTCTCATCAAGGCTGAATTCTCACTAGAAGAATGACTACACTCAGGCAACTGTGCTTGGTGCATGTTGTGAGATGATAGGACTCATTGGCAAAGACAATAATGCTAGGAAAAGCAGAAGGCAGTTGGAAAAGAAGGAATTCTAACAATAAAGGAAGTCACAGTTTACAAGACCTGTATGGGGCTATGAACGATAGGATCTTTTATAAATCATTGGCTAGGAACAAGTTGATCAAAGCACTGTGTAACATTATACTGCCATAAAGTTGCCAGGCATTCTGCCCTATCAACAAGGGCTGTGGAAGGTGATTGCTCCATTGGTCATATGGTTCCCATTTTGACTAACTGCACAATGCGCTATCAGAAGTACTTCAGGAATAGCATTTCCGCCTTGACACAATTGTAGCTACTGTGAATATAAGACAAACTGTGCTTGTATAAACTACTCAACAGGATTTCAACCACTAACTCATAGGACTACCATACATTGGAAGAAACATGATACGATATAACAAAATGACAACAACGTAGGATGACTTGTCTAGTCACAATCAGATCTCTAATCAGGGCAGGAAGATCCACCGTCTTTCAAGGAGTTTTTTACCTGAGGCCCTGAGTGCTCACTGGAAGGACAGATCCTGAAGCTGAGGCTCCAGTACTTTGGCCATCTAATGAGAAGAAAAGACTCCCTGGAAAAGCAGATCTCTAATCAGGGCAGGAAGATCCACAGTCTTTCAAGGAGTCTTTTACCTGAGGACTCTTTTTCTAACTGCCAGGTAGATTTGTCTCCAATTTAAATATCTGCCTAGAGTGGCAACTCAATTTAATCTTTAGCTCTTCTGGCCTGCAGGTTGCCATGTCTTTCTGCACCTCTACTTTCAGTCAAACAAAAAGTTACATGCTTGGGCAGAACACCATGGAGAATGTATGGGACGACTGGCAATGCTTTGTCCACAAAAACAGAACTCATTCTGCATTGCCTGTGGTGAAATTAGACAGTACCACAAGTGGATGCAATAAACTGCCCAATTTGGTCCGGATGGGTTTTTGAACTATTCTGCTTCGCTCCCAACTCCCTCAAGCTCTGCAACGTTCAGTTTGATGAAGAGTTCTGCTGGACTCGAAAGCTCGTCCGTCTTTAATATGTTAGTGGTCCAGTAATGGTTGCTCCCACCCCTGGTGTTTGGATCTCTTTTTTTCCCGAGGATCACGCGGCTTTTTTTTTCCATCTTTTTTGTCAGCTGTTAAAAGAAGCAGAAGCCAGCCTGACGGGCATTCCCTTCCCCACGTAGAGCCCCCAAAAGCGCCTGATTTAGGAAAGATGCCGCTTATCTGGTCTTTCGCTAGCCGGACAAGGGAGGACCAAGCCCAGGGGTCGCCCAAAGCCCGGCTTCTACTCATGCCTCACCTCTGGGTCGTAAAGGATGACAGAACGACACGAACCGAAAGCCAGAAGTCCCCCTCTTGCCCATGAGACCACGCCGGATCCAGCGCGGTTGGCACAGCAAGCGACATGGCATACTTCTAAGGGGGCTGCCATTTTCGCTTGCGCTCCGCTAGGTTTGCCGCACATCGGCCGCCGTAGAAGGGCTCGCCCAGAGAGCGGAAGCGGTGCGGTCTTGGCGGCGGGTCTTCCCCAGACGCTGCTGCCGCCTCTTCGTTCCCCGCTGTTATTTAGAGAGGACCTGGAAATATGAAGCAATTAAAATTAAAATGATTATTCTTGTACATAACATTTGGAAAATTAAGATACTGGGCTATCTTCTAGTTTTCAGAAGAGCTGTTGATATTATTCATCTCTCTTTGCGAGGTGTAAGAACACTACAACATAGAAGAGGTACACCAGTATTTATTTATGTTCTGGCTTGATGGATAAAATAGCTGATTTTGTTCTAGAAATCAAGAAACACTGTAAACTGGAAGTCACAGAATCACAGAATAATGAATTTATTTATTTTATTAAATTTCTACCGCACCCATCTAGACCAAAGATCTACTCTATTCTATAATAACTTCTATAAGGCCCTTGAGTCCAACCCCCTGTTCAAGGAATACAAATCAAAGGACGTCTGCCAGGTGGTTGTCTAAATTTCTCTTGAATTCCTCCAGTGTTGGAGTACTCACCGTCTCTTGAGGTCATTGGCTCCATTGTCATACTGTTCTAACAGTTAGGAAGTTTTTTCCTGATATTCAACCAAAATCTGGCTTCCTGTAACTTGAGCCCATTGTTGCATATCCTGCACTCTGGGATGATCCTGCCCCTCCTCTGTATGACAGCCTTTCAAGTATTTGAAAAGTGCTACCATATCTCCCCTCAGCCTTCTTTTTCTCAAGGTTAAACATGCCCAGTTCTTTCAGGCTTTCCTCATAGGTCTTGGCTTCCGCCCCCCTGATCATCCTTGTTTATTTATTAATTAATTATTTATTTAACTTATATGCCGTCCACTCTACCCAATGGTCTCTGGGCGGCTTACAGCAATTAAATAAATTTTATAGTATGTGTATTTTAAAAATTCTGAAATAAAGCAGGTCAAAGTTGTTCTAGTTTCCGCAGAATGCTTTCAAATTATTCTGCCAAAAGTAGCCGAGACAAATAGATTGGGGGTGGGGGCGGCGGCGTGGTCTTGTAGAGTTTGTAGTTGTGAGAGGAGTTGTGTAGAGTTATCGGTTGCCCTGCATTTTAAAATACAGTACATACTTCGTGGTGGACAAAAATTGGCCAGGTAGAGTGATAATTTCTGCCCTTGTGGCTCAGTCCTTTCGAGACACAAGCTTTTCCAGTAAACTCTCTTTAGCCCCTCATAAGCCGGGAAATGGAATTACTGTAAAGCAGGGGTCTCAAACATGCGGCCCGGGGGCCATTTGCGGCCCCCCAGATGATAGTTTGTGGCCCTCATCTTGCCTGCCCCCCAAAACGCCCACACATCTTCTGCTGTCAAAAGTAAAAAAAAGCCTTGCCTCGCTCGCCGGCTGTCTCCCAAGACAGCACCTCTTGCACCCTCCATCAAGAACTGCAGCCTGCCAGCCAGCCCGCCTGTCTGTCGGCTCAGGAAACTCCTGGGCGGCTTCCTCGGGCTCTTGCTCCGCTTGGCGGAAAATCTGATGCGGCCCAGCCTCACCCAGACTCTGCCTCCAGCAGCCCCCAGGTAAATTGAGTTTAAAACCCCAGCTGTAAAGAGAAGCAAAAGGGTGGTCGTGAGGACAATCTTTAGGGACCGCCTCCAGATAACCAAAGAGGGAAGTGTCTGAAGGGAAGGCCTGCTAAATGGTCGCTGAAATGTGTTAAGGTTGGGAAAAGGGACAAGCTGAGCAGTTAGTTATCAAAAATCAATAATGGACAACACTCAGAGGGAACTTCACAGTACTATAAAAATATCCTGGAATCAGAGAGATGGGACAGAGATGAAAACCATTTGTGTTGCCAGTCTTTCCCAGTTTTTACTGCTTTCCTAAGGAATGGATTGGTTATCAGTGCTATGAAATTAACTTTTATAGGGAGAAATAAAAGCCCTTTCAATTTTTCCAAATCCTGAGATTTAATTTCCAGTGGCAGCCATATGGGAATTTGGGAGCCAACAAGTATACTAAAGATTTGTTTAAATGCTACACGATAGACCTTAAAATTCGGGACCTTCAATCTTCCATTTCTTTCTGATTATGGAAATTCTCTGCATTACGTACTCTTGATTTCTTGGAGCTCTGAATAAAATTCATACATACCGTATGCTGATATGTAAAGGCCACAGCTGCTATCCTTTAAGGTGGAACTTGAAAGAGATAAGTTAGCCTGGGCAGAATTTACATTTTAACTGCTGCTATGCAACCTAGTAATGACAGATTCAGTATTTGTCATTGTATGCGTTTCTGTTTAACTAGATGTAACAGTGGTTTATAGTTTAGGGTATTAAAGTTAGTCAATTGAGATGGAACATATTTTATGGTGTTGACAAATGGACTCAATTCAAATTGTGGTCATATTATGATTTCTATCAGAGCCCGTGGTTCTTAACCTTTGTTACTTGGATGCTTTTGAACTGCAACTCCCAGAAACCCCAGTCAGGACAGCTGGTGGTGAAGGCTTCTGGGAGTTGCAGTCCAAAACTCCTGAGTAACCCAAGGTTAAGAACCAGTGAGTTAAGAGATTTATATTAACAGTTTTAAGTCCCAAACAGGGGAACAGCCATATACTTAACTACTAATTATATCCCACTATAACTGTAAATTAGGTCCCAAAATAGTTTGGAAAAATGATTTGGGGTATTTCATATGTGGTATGTGGTACTTCATATATGGTATAAATGTGCCGTCCTATCAGAAACAGAATTAATCACAGGGCAAAAAATTATAAGATCACCATCTTCTGTCTTTATTTTCAGGCAATAATGAACAACTAATTCATAAACAATTGGTTATCTTGTTTTCTGTGGCAGCACATTTGGAAATTGTCACAGACTGGAAGGGAACTTCTAATTTACTTGCAGGGAGAAATAATATGGAATATTTCCCTAATAGAAAAATTAATATTCCAGTTCAAATTACTCAAACAACCACATTCCCAGGATGAAGTTTTCAACACACAGTTTCCTTTTATTTTTTATGTTAATAAGAATGACCAGACTTATTTTCCTCCAGTCTCCCATGTGAATCTTTGGTACGATATTCTAATTGATGCAGATTACAATGGTGTGAGGGTCTTATATCAGATTATACATTTCTGTGCAATTTTGTTATTGTTGTTGTTTCTATGTTCTTTCAATAAAGATTTTTTTAAAAATATCTTGGAATAACTCCCCTTACATCACTCCACATTGCCTTTTCTTAGCCAAAACGCTATCAGGTGTCAAACAAGGTATCGAAATATGCCCCTAATGCTGCAATCCTAAAATATCGAATAGAGAGCAATATGTCTCATGAACATAATTGACAGACTTTTGAGTATACAGACATAGGACTTCTGATTTACCTGGTAAGGATCTATTTAACAAGCTCTTGTTTCTTGTGTCTTTGGTCAAGTACAAAGCCCTTCCCCCCCCCTTTTTATACACTTCGTCAATATGACAACTCAATTATGATTTTAGTTTTTAATCTCTGAACCATCCAATATAAGCAGGCAGTGTTCTGTTTAAAATCTACTAGTTGCATGTCCTGTCAATGGAGTGCTGTTTTTTTGGTCATTCCTTGTACCTACCTTATTTATAAACAGATCAAAATACATATCCTGAATGCCAGCTGTTATCTGTCATCTTTTCCTTATCCTGCTGTCAACAGCAGTGCAGTCACACTTCAGCTAGCAGCTAGCAATTAATTCAGAATAACTACAATAAAATGGCATGATTATTTTAAAGTAAGAGAGGTTTTGCCCTAACTTATGGAAAATACTACACATTGTCCCATATATTCACTTGCCTCACATCAGACCTAGAGGTCAAGATCATTTGGAGCCACTAAATCTTTTTAATTTCTATTTAGCTTGCAAAGCTTTTCCTACTGGAGTGGGAACTGAGCCTTTCACTCCGATTTTTTTTTCTACTTTCTTCTGTTTTCCAGCACCACTGCTGCCACCTTCTAAGTCTAGAACATCCACATCTGTATGTGAACTAAGCCATAGGCATTTCTAAGTACTGCAACAGCTTCTGTTTATGTTGAAGGATTTGCTCTGACAATGTGTACAAGCAGCAGCCCACCATATCTGTGTGATAGAACAGGGGGAGGTATTCTCCATTCTAAGAGGCATCTGGATCCCATTATTGGTGTGAAAATATGTATCTGTATACACACCAATTTTATTAGACACCTCATCATGCAGCAGTTTATGCCAGAAGAAGCTTCAGTGGAAACAGCTCTACATCAGGCTGGTGTTACATGAACAGCAGGGCAGACCCAAAACATTTTGCTGCTTGAGTTGGTTTAGCAGATGGTATCCCTCTCTCAGAATCAGGGCACACATGATTTTTAGTGCCAAGCAAGGTATCATGGCACCTCAGGCAGAAAACCCCACAAGCTTTTGTCTCAAAGTCTAGAGCAATAAAAATACAACAGAAATACAACAGAAACAAGTAAAATATTTGCTGCTCTTTCATAGTCCCCCATACTTGTATGAGGCATACTCCAATTTACAGTAAGTAAGATAGTCACTTAAGTTAGGAGGACATCCTTCACTTAAAAAGTGGAGAAAGGGAGGTGCTGATTTGCATAAAACTTCATATGCTAATTTATATGTACAGATACAAAATAATAAAGACTTTAAGATTTAGATGGAATTACTGTGCATGTCACACAAATTGAGAAGACTACTTGTATGCCTGCAGCTTGGGTGGCGCTCATCATAGATGCTGAGTAACTTCAGAATGCACTCTACATGGGGCTGCCTTTGAGATTGATGTGGAAATTCCAAAAGGTGCAGAATGCGGCAGCCAGGCTTCTTAGTGGGGTGAGGTAATATCATAAATCCCCCACTCTGGCTGCTATGCATCGGCTGCCCATTCGTTTCCACATTGACTTCAAAGTGCTAATGATGACATACAAATCCCTAAATGGTTTGGGACCTCGATACTTGGCAGATTGTCTCCCACCTAGATCTACCCGAATCACCCGGTATAG